TTAAGTTATCTCTTATCCCTCTAGCGAGTATGTACGATATACTTTTGAGTTTTCTGTCTCTTACTAGCATAATAAAAAAATGATAGTGCGAGGGAGGTTTGAGGGCGGGTGTGATACAGAATAGGAACGGATAATGAGAAGTGAACATTACGGTGACAGCAGCTGGAACGTGCAGAAGATGAAAAAAGGATTGTGTGCGTATGAACCCCCGACTAATTAAAACAGACAGTAAGTTAGTTTAAGTGAGAAAGTAACAGATATAGAGAGAGAGAGAGAGAGAGAGAGAGAGAGAGAGAGAGAGAGAGAGAGAGAGAGAGAGAGAGAGAGAAAGAGAGAGAGAGGGGGGGGGGGGTGTATGTGTGACGGCCCTGGTGTGACATGTCCGTGTGTGTGAGACCCGCCTGTATTGTGAGTCACATGACTAGACACAAACATGGGAGTAGCTCGGTTGACTTAGAGACCCATTTGTTTTGAGTGTAGATTTATGTTATTTCGTGTGTACAGATTTGATGCTTTGTGTTAGTACGAGTTTAAAGTCACTTGCAACAAAATTAGGTTATTCATATATTATTATGCCTGCACTAAAGATTAGAGGTCTTTCAATAGATTTTTAAATTTTTATTTAGTAGAGGGTTTTACGGCGCTCGCAACTGCATAAGGTCATATGAGCGCCAAGGGATGGGTGTCAACAGAGAAGTCCTTACAGGGAATCAGACTTACTCTGCTCACCTCTCTAGCTTCAACAGCACAAGGTCTGCTTCGACTATCAAGGCACCCCGGAAATAGAAGGTCACAAGAGAGTGACAAACATACAAAAGAAGTAGAGGAAAATGACAATAGTAATACTAAGGATTAGGAAAGAAAAAGCAGCAGTTCCCTGCTGCAGATCAGGCACAGTTATGAGCGTGACATGATGAATCAGCCCATTTACAATTCTACTGTGCTTGAACGAGAAATGTCCCCCCTTTGGAAATGGCCTAAAGACACTACAGTCAGTGGCACTGCCCCGGTGGGTTCTTTCAAGAGAGTAACAACAAGCACATACAAAAAGAAAGAAATAAAGATGATAGATTGTTGTTTTTTTGTAAGTGATTTAATGTGCTCGCAACTGCATAAGGTCATATGAGCGCACGAGACACATTACAGGTAAACATTTTCGGTTGGTAGGAAATTCTGAATTTTGCCCGGGTGGCGGCTGAAGCCTACTCTTATCGATTTTAGACCACCAAGGGATCTTTAACGAGCCGCAGCTTCCACACGGGACCTCCGAGATTTTTCGCCCTTGTCCGAGAAGGCTAGGTGTAGATCTTTCCTACCAGAAGATCAGGGGTGTGGCTGAAAGACAGCAGTAAAGTGCCAGGGAGTAACAGTAGAAAAGCTGCAGAAAGATTCAGGAGCCCAGAGGAGGGGGCAAAGGAGGTGAGGGGGTGGGGGCAGAAAGTGGACATGAAAGCAGACAACAGAACATTGCTAGAGAGTAGTAAAGGAGACAAATTTTAGAGAAGAGAATTTTTCGGTCGCTACCCTGATTCGAACCTGGGACCTTTGAAAGAGAGGCGAACACCTTAACCTCTAGGCCACGAGAGCCCCCTGATATATAATATATATATTTGATAGGAAAAAAAGGAGTAAACCACACGAGGGAACCCGCCGACCCCCCACGCTACAACAACAAAAATGTCTGTACAATCAAAACAAAAGCATACACACACAAGAGAGTTGGAATCTCTTTTATTTTTCACCGACTCCTCTTCAAACTTTGACATTCGGCTACATTTTTGCGTCAATAAAACACAATAATATAATCATGATAGAGAAAACAAAGCCGACGAAAAGACAACCTTTTCCTGAAGTTCTCTTATTTCTGGCAGCATTTCTCGTCTTGCAACCACAGACAAAAGCAATTCCTCTTCCACCACTATGCGGGACAAATGCTTTAAGTATTCTCCAGATGGTCAACGAGAAGTTTCTATTTTAAAAGAAACAACAACAAAAATCCCTTACAGACAGCAAGATGATGAAGAAGAAGAAGAAGAAGAAGAAGAAGAAGAAGAAGAAGAAGAAGAAGAAGAAAAAAAAAGAAGAAGAAGAAGAAAAAAAAAGAAGAAGAAAAAATATAAAGAAGAAGAAAAAAAAAAGAAGAAGAAGACCATCTCCATTAAGGAATATTAGCAGCATTACTTAACCCTAGAAAAACCTCAGGTCCAAACTCTTCAGTCTGACTAGAACCGAAGACCAACAAAAGTAGAGTCAGACAAATATTGATGTCTGAAGGAAAAAAAAAACCACACCAAAAAACCCCCTAACCTAGTACATGTGTCATCAAATCTGGGCCAAATCAACTTGTCTAATTCGATTTACTCAAAAATGTCCAAACATCTTCCTCCCTAGGTAAGGCATTGATTATTTCTATATATTCAACGAATATACACAAAAGTCATTGACTTTGAACAATTCAGACTGAACTTACTGATTAAATCTTTAAAAGTTTTTCTTTAGTCAGAAAAAAATTATTAAGTGACACACTACAACTACAACGGGGTTTTTTTTCATACCAACAACAACACCACCTCACAACTCACTCAGTCGTGGCATCAGCAATAAACAAACCCCAGACATCAGAAGAGATGCGAAATGTGGTCTGTACTCTTTATTTCAACAGACAAATAACTCAAATGAATATCAAGCTAAGATCATATTCAAACAAAAAAGTTGACCATATCAATATATCATCAAGGTCATAATCATAACACAATTTCCCAAGTCTTTTTTTTCTCCAGGTTTCTATACACTGCGCTGTTTTATAGAGACAATGTTACTTGTCTTCAAGTCATAAGACAGACTTCAGTAAGCAGCGTTTTGTTGGGTTTTTTTAAAAGCTTGCTCAAAACAACAACAAAATAAAACAACTCAGGAAATCGTGTTATGAATCAAATACTACATGTGAGGCAGCGTGGTGAGATCAGGCGCTCGTCAAAATAATGAAAAAGAAGAAACTGACATTTTTCCGCAGGTTTGGGAAATTTTATCGAGTTTTTGTTTTTCGCCTCAGCACCTTTTACACCTATTAAAAGTACATTTCTGTGTGGATTTTACTGAAAGACATTTACAAAAAGCACCAAAAAAAAGGAAATTTTTAGTACTCTCAAGCGAAGGAAATAGCTAAACTTTGGTAGCCATTTTTTCGCTAATTTTACCTCTGAAACCAGGCCACCCCCACCTCCTTCGCCAATCACCAATATCTCGACTTGTATTTAAAATAAATGTATATTTTTTTCACCAAAAGAAAGACAAATGAGCAAACTTTAAGAGGACACCAATAACTCCACATGCCAAAAAATTGCCGAGCGCCTGATCCCACCGCGTCGTGACACTATATATAACGAGGGAGTGACAGGCAATCATTCTATTCTGTTTGTACATTGTTTGCTCCTAAACAACACAACACGACGACACAACAACACAACACGACGACACAACACAACACGACGACACAAATAGCCTCAAACAAGTGACCAATCCTCAGATAAGAGAAAAACAAGAACAGATCAATCAGATTTACATTCAACTTCAGTGACAAAAATGAAAGAAAAAAAACCTCCACAAGTAATGCACAAACAAACTAGAGAAATCACCGCCAGAATTTCCAGGCCCTGTGAAATGCTGGCTGATAAGGCTTCTAAATGTAAAACTCCATAAAACGGCCAAAAGGGTGACAACTGAAACATATAATCTTGAATAGTCAGCTGGTGCTAACACCCATGAAGTGCTGCATCCTTGATACATGAACTAAAATTTCCTTACTTCATCAAGAAATAGTCAAAAAAAAAAAAAGAATTTCACGGAAGAGACACTTTTTTCTTTATTACTTTTCTAACCAAAGGACATCGCTTTCATTGCGTTGTTACAGTGCGCATAAAATAAAACAGCTAACACACCCTGAACATTAATGAAACTCTCCGATAACTTTCTGTTGCATTGTCCCTGAAGGGAGGAGAGAAAGTTAGTTTAAGTGAGAGTTTTTCAGCACTTGCAACACAATAAGGTCATATAAGGGAGGGGAAAGAAAAAAGTGAAACCAATGAGAAAGTGAAATAAACAACAACAACCATAGAACACTCATTCAGCATCATCATCATCACATCCGTCTCCCTTCTGTCCATCCACCAACAGAACATCATTTATTTCTCCTCTCTCTCTCTCTCTGTCTCTCGATACAGCAGCACACAACGGAAACATCAATGACATAAAAAACAACTTTTCACAAAATTACTTTACAGGTACAGTTAGTCTACTACAGCACACACACACACACACACATATATCAACCCGATGATGGTCTGTCCGCGATCTGACCTTGACCTTTGTTGACGTCGCTGATGCACACCCACTGTCCCTCCAGGCTCTCCTTCCATAATGTTACCTTAGAGGACGGAAAATAATTTTTAACAATTTTTAAATTATGAAACAATCCAAAATAGGGACAAATAGAAAGAATGTAAAATGAAAACATATTTTTTTTTATAAAGGTCAGTTTGAGAGAAGAGACACAGACCAACACAATAACTGGCAAATAGAAAAAAAAATTACGAGAAAATGCAGTCTAAGATATAATACAAACCCTTTGGATAGCAAAGAATCTGGTTCCGTAGATAGACGACCTCCAAATTTCCCAACCCCCCCCCCAGCAACTTTGGGTTTTTTAAAAATCTCATCTAGCAGAGATGCAAACTGACTACAAAAGAAAAGTCCTGAATTTTTCGGACATCATGGAAACATATACGCGGGGACTCAAAATTTACAGATCATACTGTCTAATGCATCAAACATCACGACTAATTTTATGTAAAATGCAATATGACATACATAAAGCAACTAAAATATAATTAAATTTATAAACAGGAGTCTATAACAAAATAGGAACAATCTGAGAAATACAGAATTCCTGGTTTCTCTGGAAAATCTCACCTCTGAGCTCGTCTCATCGAAATAGATAAACTTTGACACACCTTTGAGCAACAATCAAAGGAAGACAAACACAAAATTCCCAAACCCTTGCAAAATAACTGACCGTTTTTTTCCCCATCTTTTCTTCAGTGTAGGTATTTTTACACTCCCATCAACACAATTTAGATCATTTAGGAGGCGCGGCTTCAACACTCACTGTCAGGGCCACCCTGGTGTGAGAGGGTCACAACATCTCAGCAGACTGACTGCGATACTCGACATAAATTAATTCCACTCGGAAACCGAAGTTGGATCTCCTGCATGTGGCAGCGACGCGCTTAATGACTATGGGAAGGTGGGGAAATTCCACACCCCTCCTTACAGCCCTTACAACCAACAGAAATCTGTGTGACATTCAACCATAATCATTTGCTTCGGTCTGCCATGTTTTATTTTTCAATTCAGCTTTAATTTCTTGTATATCTGTCTTTTTGTTTTCATTTTGGAATGTGTGCTCATGTGGGTGTGGAACTGCCCCGCAATATTAGATTTTTAATTCAGTTGAAAAATGGAAGTACAGGGATGGTGATATCGCACAATTCCTATTATGTTTTGTTTCCCAACTTATCAGACCCAAAGTAAAACTGTTGTGGAGGACGTGTCCTCTTTCTACATAAAGTAGCTTCTATAACACTTGTCTCACAATCCAATTGAAACGTATGGTGTGGAATTCCCCCATTTTACTACACAGCAGACGTTAGTCAACTGAGGGCGTCACATTCCCATTCCATAGAGAACAGAGATAAACATCAAGTTCTCAAACCTCTGCCTGACAAACAAACAAAGCAACCCACCTTGTTGTCTCCCCCTGAGACGGCCAGGATGTTGCCGGTGGTGGACCAGCTCACGTGCCACACGACGTCGTCAAACTTGTGCAAGATCTTGGAGTTCCACGTGGTGCTCACGCCGTCGTTGGTCCAGATGATCACGCGGCAGTCCTGGGGGGGGGAGGGAAACGACCTTTTGTTTAACACTTTTCTGTTTTTGTAAAGTTTTCGTGTGGTTTGTTTTAGTTTTAGTAAAAGTTTTACGGCACTTGCAACACAATGCGGTCATATAAGTGCCGAAGATTAGAGGTGTTACAATAGAGTAACAAACATAAAAAAAAGAAAGAGGAGAGATAAGGATGATAGATGTTCGATAGGAAAGAAGGAGCAAACCACCCCAGAGCACCCGCACACTATCACTGTAAGAGTTTTCCAGACTTTCGAGAATTGCTTGAAGGCTGACCTTGCCTTGGCGGTTTACGGCACTAGCGACACAAAAAGGTCATATAAGTGCCGAAGATTAGAGGCGTTACAAGAGATTAACAAATACAAAAAAGAAGGAGGAGAGATAAAGACGATACAATTTTTTTACAGGAAAGAAGGAGCAAATCACACCAGAGCACCTGCCAATCACACAGCACCCACACCACGTCTCACCTGTGAGCAGGAAGCGATGACTGACTTGGGCAGGCCGATAGAGGGCGCCCAGGCTACATCCCTCACCCAGTCACTGTGGCCGTCCAGCTTCTGTTCCTCCACCCACTGGCCGTTGTCCTCCCTTAGACAATCACAAAGTTTTAGCATAAGAGTTTTCTAGTTTAGTTTAGTAAAGAGTTGCAACACAATAAGGTCATATAAGTGCCGAAGATTAGAGGTGTTACAAGAGAGCAACAACAAACGTAAAAAAGAAGGAGAGATAAGGACGATAGATGTTTAAGAGGAAAGAAGGAGCAAACCACACCAGAGCACCCGCCAACCACCCACGCATAAGAGTTTTATGGCATTTGCAACACAGCAAGGTCATATAAGTGCCGAAGATTAGAGGTGTAACAAGAGAGTAACAAACACAAAAAAGGAGGAGGGGGAGGGATCGTCTTAGTTGTAGTAAGTGTTTTACGCCACTTGCAACTCAATAAGATCATACAAGTACCGAAGATTAGAGGTGTTACAAAAGAGTAACAAACAAAAAAAAAGAAGGAGGAGAGATCAGGACGATAGATGTTTGATAGGAAAGAAGAAGCAACCCACACCACAGCACCCACCAACCACCCACAGACAATCACAAAAATAACACCCAAAAAAATATAAGATCAATAAATTTTTTTTAGCATACCATCAACAAAAACTTTACGATAAAATCAGAGAAATTTGGCGGAAGTTAGGAGTGTAGAGAAGCGGCACAATGATACAATATTATGGTCACAGTGCTGAGAAAAGAGTAAAACAGACAAACAGAAAAAACAGAAGAAAGAAAAGTAAGCACCACCTACCGCTGACAGCAACACTCTCTCATACTCATACAAGCAAAAAAACAACAACAAACAAACCATCAGACCAATTTGACAAAAATGGACGCAGTGTTCGTTTGCTTGAGTAAAGAGAAGCACATCACCAAATTGCATTCATTTCACACAGGGAAATAGGAAGACAGATGGGTAGAAACAACCGAAAAATGGAAAGAGTAGTAAAAAAAAATAAATGAAAATACATTCCACTGATAACCTCCCTTGATCTCTCTCAATAGAAAAGTTTCCATTTGTACATGCAATGACTCACATAAATATACAGGAGGGAACAGGGCTGCAGTTAAACCTATCTGTACGCCCAGAGGTCATTTTTGTACCCCCGGGGTTGTATTTTTCACACTTCAGAATACTTCTAGTACGAACATCTCTTTGAAACTTTCAGTATTTCTCAAAAAATCATTTTGACAGACTGTTATGCAAAGTGTACGGATCGGATTAACGAGTAAGTTTTCTCTTTGAAAAGTCGTGGCACAGAGTTCCCCACGTCGTATGGATACAACAGTAAAACACGACGTACAGATAGGGTTAAAAAAAAACCCCCAACAAACAAAACTCACCTCCAGATTTTGACGAGGAAGTCGCATCCCCCGGAGACAAATCTCTTGACCAGCTGCTGCTGTCCACTCTGCTGGTCAAACAAGGCGTTGGGGGCGGTGGCAGGGGCCCAGCTCACAGAGTTGCAGCCAATCTGGGCACAGACGAGACAGAGAAGAGAATTACAGTGGATTCTGGTTACAGTGAAATCTGCGGGATAGCTAGATTCTTTTTTTTTCTTCTGATTTAGCCAAGTTTTCATTTTAAAAAGATTGCTCAAATAGTCGTTTTCAATGGCTTGCGGCAAATTTCACTTTTTGAGAGTTTTCTTTCTTCCCGTCTTCCTCCTACAGTAACAGCTATTTGCGCTGCAGGCTGTACCTATTGTGCGCGTTCTCTTCAACATTATCAGCTTGCTTAATCTGGTTTAATTTTAGTTTTAGTATAAGTTTTACGGCACTTGCAACACAATAAGGTCGAAGAAGTGCCGAAGAATAGATTATGTGTTACAAAAGAGTAACATACACAAAAAAGAGGGAGAAGACATAAGGACCATAGATGTTTGATAGGGAAGAAGGAGCAAACCCAACCAGGGTACCCGTCAACCACCCACTTTCATTCGGTTAACTGTTGTTTTCAAATAAACAGCATTCGGTTTAAGCAGACTCCACTGTTTATTGGTCACTTTGAATGAGTTTAACGTCTTTTTAAACACAATTTTAGAGGAAGGAGCTCTAAACTACAAGGTTCATAACAAACAAAAATGAAATGTAAACAAATAAAGCACTCACTGTGTGGGCGTTGTTGATTTTCTTTGTGTCCCACGAACCATCCCCTGAAATTCATAGACAAACATATTGACATAACAGGTATAAAAAAAAAAACAAAGCTCAGTGTACGGAATTCATAACAACAACCTGAACTCACAGCATAGGCTGAAGGATAACTAACCCTAACAGAAACATTAAGTATGTTCAGAATTCACAAATTCAATCTGCTGGAAATAATTTCAACAAAAGTAAAGCCCTGCCATATACTTTGACTGCATTCTACAGAAGCGGGAAAAAAGTTGAATAGTAAAAAATGCAAAACAGTCTAGCACGCACATGGCAAAATTTGCAGGCGCCCACACCTTTTCATTATTAACAAATTTCGCCATGTATATGTTTTAAACGGAAAGAAATACAAGCATTACAAAAAAATCCGGACCTGAAAAAAAACAACTTCATTTGCTATGTGAGTGCCTCACTACGTGCATCCTTGACTATGTAATTTAATTAAATTGTTATGCATCCAAAATGTGAACCATTTTACTTTGTTTTATATCCAAAGTAGAGACAATTTTACTTTTAAGGGTCAAAACAGAGCCAAAGAAAGTCTGATCAAAAACAATAAACAACATGTGACCAAGCCACCAGTTTCAACCTTTTCTCAACGAGAGTGTGAGGAAACATCACCTGTGCTAGATATCACTGAGATCGAGCCATCAGAGCTCCCACACGCCAGCATGAGCCCGTACTCGTGAGGGGCGAAGCACACAGAGTTCACTGTGGGGAGGAAAAACAAAGAGCTTTTTAGTTTTAGTAAGAGTTTTTAGTATAGTTTTAGTAGAGGTTTTACAGCACTTGCAACACAATAAGGTCAAATAAGTGCCGAAGAATAGTTGTGTTACGAGAGAGAAACATTCACAAAAAAGGGGAGATCAGGATGATTCGTTTTTGATAGGAAAGAAGGAGCAACCCACACCAGGGCACCCACCAACCACACACTACAAAGAGCATTCACAGATTCACAGAATTACAAACAAAACAAAGCAAAGAAGTAATACTGAATTTGCATTTGACCCCATAACTACAATCCAAGTTTTACATAAATTTGTAGATCATTTTTTGGAGACAGGCGGCTTTGTTCGGAAAAACCCATTCTAAATGGGATACAACATAAAACCCATGAAAAAGATGGAGACCCTAGACAAAATAATTTCCTCATTTAGGAATCTAAGTCATGTATTTCGCTTTCAATAGTGAAGAGTTTGTTGGTTTAAATAGAGTTTTTACGGCGCTCGCAACTGCATAAGGTCATACGAGTGCCAAGGTGTGGATGTCAACAGAGAAGTCCTTACAGGAAATCAGGCTTACTCTGCTCACCTCTCTAGTTTCAACAGCACAAAGTCAGCTTCGACTATCAAGGCACCCTGGAAATAGCGGGTCACAAGAGTGTGACAAACATACAAAAGTAGAGCAAAAATGACGATAGTAAGGATCAGGAAAGAAAAAACAGCAGTTTCCTGTTGCAGTTCAGGCACAGTAATGAGCATGACATTGATGAATCAGCCATTTCACAATTTCAATTCTATTGTGCACAAGAACATGGTTACGGGTCCCCCCCTTTGGGAATGGCTTAAAGACACTTCAGTAAGTAGCACCGCCCCGGTGGGAGGTCACGGCTGCACATAGAAGACATGAGAGACGTCAAAAGTCAAGCAGCCAGCTCACCGGAAGAGTCATGCTGCGCGTACTCATATAGCTTTCCCCACACGCCGTTCGTCTCCCGCCAGATGATGACCTTCCTGTCGTAGCCACAGGAAGCCAGCATGTGTCCAAACATCGGGTGAGCCCAAGCAAGCTGCCAAACTGGACCGTCATGGCTGTTATAAAGAGGGAAACAATAAAAAGTGGTCAATACATTCATTTGATTGTTTGCGTACAACAAAAAGCACGTAGACTTTTAACTACTTTTTTAAAAAGCAAGACTGATAGACAGAAAAAATAGATGAAGGGAAGAGTAAAGCAGCAGGACTTACCACTGGGAAACCTCCATCGAACTGCATTCTAAACAGTGATTCGTAGTTGTTGTTTTTTTAAAAGAAAAGAAAAACATTTTGGAAAAGGATGTTGCAACAGTGATTGGCAATGGCATCCTGATAAAACGTAACCTTTTCATTCATTTCAATTTATTCCTTCTCCCTGCCATCATAAACACAAGCTTCTACATTTCTTGGCCAGAATTTTCATTACATGTAAAGCTTGATTTTGGTATGACTAAAGAGAAGCACCAAAAAGCCATTTGAACACTATAATAATATGACCATTTAATGCTAGAGGAAAAAGAAAGAAAAATAACGGAGGGTCAAGAAAAGAAGTAAGAAGCAAGTTAACTAAACATGTGTGCCAGTACAAGTCAAGTGGCTATCAAGATAACACATTGTACACACACAGAAATGAAGGCAAAGCAGAATGACCCAAGTCAAAATCATCTTCATCATCATTTCCCTTCTCACCCTAGACCCAGGGAAAAGGCCGGAAAAACACTTTCCTCTTTTCCTTTCACAAGACTGGCTTTTTGACAATATTCCATGTCTTTCCCCTTTTCTGTACATAATTCTCTGTGACTTTTCTACAGGTTCTACAAAGCCTTTCCCTTGGTCTCTTAACACTATCCGTACACCCTGGGGTCACTTTGTACCCCTGTGGTTATTTATATTCTTCACATTTTAGAATACTTCTAGTACAAAGACCTCTTTGAAACTTTCAGTATTTCTAAAAAAATAATTTTGACAGACTGTTATGCAAAGCGTACGCATCGGATTAACAAGTAAATTTCCTCTTAGGAAAGTGCTGGCACAGAGTTCCCCACGTCGTATGGATACGATAGTAAAACACGACGTATGGATAAGGTTAAATTCAAAGTGCTGATCACTAACCGTTTGTGGAGTCTGAACAACTTGAGGGATTGGTTGTAATGAACAAGTCACAAGTAAAAATAACACACATATATACATAGAGGAAGACAAAGAAAAGCAAATGAATAGAGGTGCTAACTAAGAAAAAAAAAATCCAGAACTTTTTTGAATCCCCAAGAAATGTGAGTGGGGACTCAAAAAATTTATGAATCATTTTGCCTTGAGCATCTTGAATCAAGACTATTATTATTTTCAGCGCACATGATGCAAAAATAGACTGTACAAAATTGTGACATGAGAGTCAAAAAGACTACAAAAGAGTAACACCCAGTTACATCCTCCGTACCCCTTCAACTGTGTGACTAGCGTCTGTTGTCCGTTTGTGACGTCAAACAGCTTGATGGAGCGGTCTGACGAGCAGGTCGCCAGTTTTGTGCCATAGTAGTCCAGCTGGGCATCATGCTGTGGGAAGTAAGAGAAATAGAAATTGTTGTAAGTAAGCCTTCACATAGTAGTTTTTTCTTTTCTCAACTTCTACACAAAACATTGGAATGATTTGAAGAACACTAATTGAAATAAAATAATTTATCCCCCCCCCCCCCAAATATCATTTTTACACATATAAATTTTATACTTTCAAAAGGTAGTGAACATTTATAGCATATAGAAAGTTCTTTTAATTCCCTGCAAGAAAGAGCAGACATAAAAAATTAGTCGCTCAAGACAATTTCTTTCACCTCCAAACAATTCTTGTAGAAAATCATAAATTGTAATCTCGAATGGATTCAACACACACTATACTACACATAGCTTACAAACAACTGCTTCAAATCTAATTCATAATTTGTCTTCACAGAATACTCATGCAAATACAATATGTACAAAATTACAATTTACAGTATTTTCATGCCCTTTAAAAATATTGTTTTAAATACTCATCAATCATCATATATTTCTTAACAACAACAAAAATCGTAATACAGTCAAACCTGCTCTAAAGACCAATTGTCCAATACAACCACATATGTGTACAAACAGCCACTTCCCACTTTACGTTTTTTTTCTTTTAAAATAACACTATCCACGAGGACCACATACAGAGACCACTTTTCTCCTCGACAATGAGTGCTTGTCTTGTACAGGTTCTTTAGTTTTACTAGAGTTTTTACAGCGCTCGCAACTGCATAAGGTCATATGAGCGCCAAGGGGAGGATGTCAACATAGAAGTCCTTACAGGGAATCAGGCATACTCGACTAACTTCAACAGCACAAAGTCTGCTTCGACTATCAAGGAATCCCGGAAATAGCGAGTCACAAGAGTGTGACAAACATACAAAGGAAGTAGAGGACAAATGACGATAGTACGATTAGGAAAGAAAAAGCAGCGTTTCCCTGTTACAGTTCAGGCACAGTTATGAGCACGACAAGATGAATCAGCCCCTTTACAATTCTACTGTGAAGATGTTAATGTCCTCCTTTGGAAATGACCTAAAGACACTTCAACCAGTAGCACCGCCCCGGGGGGTGTGTACAGGTTCAACTGAATCTTTGTTTCATCACACAATATATTGATTTCAAGATTTCCCAAAGTAATAAGTGAACAGAAGAATGCACAAGGGGCATATATTTTAACTATCCCTTCACACACACATAGCAGACAGATTCATTCAGTTGGGGTTTTTTTCCATTTTCTTTCCTGCTCATCCCAGCATGATCAGGGTCTAACAGTTAACTCCTCCCCTTTTGGTGCAATGTCTTAACAGAGAAAAAAGAGAGCCAGCTGTCTAGCACATAGAAAAAAATATAATATAATTTGTACACTATCAATGTACACTGAACTCTAACACCCTGGGGCGGTGCTACTGACTGAAGTGTCTTTAGGCCATCCCCAAAGGGGGGACATTAACTTGTTCTTTTATAATGCATAATATTTATATAAGTAGAATTCTGATTCACTATGCCATGCTCATTATAACTGTGCCTGAACTGCAACAGGGAACTGCTGCTTTTTCTTCCCTATCCTTACTATCGTCAATTTTTCTTCTACTTCTTTTTTGAATGTTTGTCACACTCTTGTGATCCGCTATTTCCGGGGTGCCTTGATAGTCAAAGCAGACTTTGAGCTGTTGAAGCTAGAGAGGTGAGCAGAGTAAGCCCGAATCCCTGTAAGGACTTCTCTGTTGACATCCACCCCTTGGTATGCAGTTGCAAGCCCTGTAAAACCTTTACTAAAAAAAAAATAAAAACCCACTGAACTCTGACCACATCCACCCAGAGCCAGCCAGACTTACAATCATGTCTTCATGAGCCGTGTCCACTGAATTGATCACAGAGACCTGAGGAGACAAAAAAAGAAAGAAATTTAATGATATGTATTATTATATTGAACACGGAATTAAAATTTTTCTGCTAGTTACTGAGGGCAACTGAGGCAGAGGTAGCCTACCAAGAACTTACGACACGCTTTTATTTCCTACAGTCAGATTTTGAACAAATGGGCAACGGCAATGGAAGTTAGAAAAGAGGACTAAAGTTTCTTTAAGAGCATCCGAGAGGAAAAATGAGTGGCGAAACATTGTCACCAATTCTGTGTCAGACCTTGCACTTGAAGAAGAACGTCATTACCCGGGATGATGTCCCCCAAAATACAGGCCCTAGCTTTTGTTCGGTTTTACAACATCATGGTCCATGGTAACAACATAGGAAGTGGCTATTCTCATCCGGGGTGAGAATAGAAAAACGATCTACCTCTCACCGCGGGTGAGACTTGCCAGTGTAGGCTATTCTCACCCGGTGCGAAACAAGACCTGCTTTTCCTCATTTTGGAATACTGTCTATCGGTGTGGATGATCAAATTGATAAAAGCCAAGAAAAAATTACGTTATAGCACAAAAGTAAGCTAATTTGATCGTCTTCAAAGATGCTATGGCTATTTCACTGTTCGAATCGAGCCGAACTACGCGGGTCGCAATTTTGTTTTGCCCGGAAGTTCTCGCAAGATCTACTCCTCTCCTCTCTCTCTTTCTGAATACTGTCTATCGGTGTGGACGATCAAATTGACCAAAACAAAGTTAAAAAATGATGTTTAAACACAAAAGTAAATTAATTTGGTTGTCTACAAAGATGCTACGGCTATTAAACTTTTCGAATCGAGCAGAACTACGCGGGTCGCCATTTTGTTTTGACCGGAAGTTCTCACGCTACTCCTCTCTCTGTCTCTTTCTCTCTCTCTCTCTCTCCACTGCCCAACAAAATTGTACGCTTTTAGTAGGCTACAGTTGTAATGGAACGTTTGTTCACGGCACAGAATTCTACAATTTTTCTGTTATCACAGTGTAGAATTCTGTGGTTTAGGGTGAACGCAAAATTTGTTGGCCTAGATCTAGGCTATAACAGTGAACGCGCACCGGGTGAGAATAGCCAAAAGACTAGCCTGCACTATTCTCATCCCGGGTGAGAATAGAGGTGGCCATGAATGACAGCAGACACTGTGTGAGGCATCATCATCATTATTAGGGCCCAACCTGATTTATTCTTCTCCTCTCTTTGGAACACTGACCTAACTTAGTATATTTAAAAGTGAGACACAATGAAATAAATTATTTTTCATTTGTGTTTTTCTACATATTGAAATGAACTGTGTCTGCTTTTATGTTGTTGGCCACCTCTATAATAGTGCAGGTTAAATGTACTAAGTTAGGTATCAGTGTTCCAAAGAGAGGAAGAATAAATCAGGTTGGGCCCTAATAATGATGATGATGCCTCACACAGTGTGTCTGCTGTCATTCATTTTCATCAGTTTGTGACTTGTCTTCTTTTTCTTCAATTTTAGTCTCTAGAACGTAAACTTGAAAGAGATAGATTCTACTTTCATTCAATCGTATCATACTTCTTGTCCTTCTACACAAAAAAGTTACACGTATAGCTTTCAAAGTCTACAAATTATAAAAAATATTAGTCTTAGATCATCTTTCTGTTTCACTCGATGTTAGGCTCACTGCGTTCTTATCGAAATTGGGTTGCTCAAGTCAGCATTTTCACTGAAATCGCCGGTAAGCACAGAGGAAAACACCTCTTGGACAGTGTAAATAGATAACATCACTGAAATACTATGAGACAAGATGTTAAAACTGTTAACGCTACCATGTTGGGGGCCTTTCTTCCTTTTCGAATGCAACACACTGAAGATTATGAGTATGGTTCCAACTTCATACACTGTTCATCAGTTTCGTGGATCGAGAAGTATCATTGTTTTGAACGTGGCACAAGGGAAATAATTTATAAATTCTTCCGGTTTCGACGTTAACACAGGGGACGGTACCCAGTCATTAAAATCCCCCTTTCATTGTTAGTTTACATCCCTTGATTTTTTTTCGTTTACATTAACATTAAATGTTTTTAGAAAGAATAATATTACATGTAGTACATTATGACGACAGTAGGAGACAGGAAAAGTTAAAGCTAAAAAAGAGCAAACAAGCAGAAGTATATGAGTAACACTTTATTCGAGCAGAAAAAGTATTATCAACAAAATTATCATTAATTTTAAAAAAACGACCCCCCCCCAATCCCCAGAAACGTTGCTGTCACCTATTACAAGCTGGTCGTAAAGGAGAAAGCATAGACGTGGAAGAGGCTGGAAGTGTTTCACATTTCACTCCCCCAAAGCATTTAGAAAGAGGACTGCTTCGAATCTGAATGACGTAAAGCTGAAATAAAAAAGGAAAAATTAGACATTGAGAACAATAATAATATTTTTTTAAAATAATGCCATTGCCCTCTCCCTCAAAAAGAAAATAAATAAATAA